CTACCAATGCTAACATCATGCCAACATTGAACGTAGGCACAACAGTTTATTCAACTATTGTTACAACTGGTAATCTAAGTGATCCAGGTGTGAGTTTACCCGACTTCGTGTCAAGGGAATATCTGGATGGCGCCCTAAAGGCTGTTCAAGATAATATGGATGCTCAAATGGCCAGTCTGAAAAGACTTTTGAAGGGAAAGGAAACTGCAGAAGAAGAGCCACCATCTGCGCCATCACCACCACATGTACCTGAACCATCAGTACAAGAACAATCGGTGGATGAACTTAAATCGTTATTATATGCAAAATTGATGGCATCTTAAAATCCAGACGTTGGAGATGCAAATTTGGTTGGCCTCTTACGACAACAATTAGACGTTAACCCTTTTGTTCGAGCCTCAGAGTTTTTGGCTTTTCAAGATGTGGTTACTTCTAGCTTTTCTAAAGTTAGCAAGTTAATTACATCCAAAACCCAAGATCTAAAAAGTTCAATGGATGCCCTCTTTGAACGGGTGTCTATTTTGGAAGAAACTTGCAGATCTCAGGCCATCTCTCTTAAACGAAGGCATGACGATCCGGATGATCCATATAGTCATGAGGGGGAGAGGAAGAGACAGAGATTGGCTGAGACATCTGAGCAAGCTGCAAGGGTTGGAGAGGAGCCATCAACTCAAGACGTAATTGTTGAAGCTTCTGCCCAAGAATCTGTTCGGGAAAGAACAATTGAGGTTATTGTGGTTGAAGATGAAGAAGAAATGGAGACAAGGCCTACGATCGAGCCAATGGTTGAAAAGCCGGCGGACTCCACAGTAGGAACAAGGATGTTATTGGACTTGTCTGCCAATATAGGTTTCAACGATGTATTATCTACTACTCTGGGTGGAGAGCAAGATTTTGGAGAAGATATTGACAACATTGACAAGTCGACTGGGATCTACTTTGATTTTGAAGCTGATATAGATGATGAAGATCCAGTCTTTCCCGTTCAAAGTGATCGTCAGACTATTCCAGAATCTTCCACTGTAGATGTACCTGATGTGTCAGACGTCCCTGCTCAAAGAGAACATGTTGATCCTACTGAAATCTTCACCAGAAATTATGTGTCATTTCATATTAGAGCGAATTTTCCTGGGTATGATAGAGAAAGAATCTGAGAGCCATATTTAGAAGATATCTACTTTGGAATTTTCATCCGACATCGAAAAGTTCTGAGCGGTGACAAAGCACTTGGTATTCATCATCAGACTAAAGATTACTGTATTGAATACAAACACCTTTTGAAAGCCAAGCGTCTACCGATAAGTGAAGTGCGTACCAAGCATCGGGTYGTCACGATCAAACAAATTGATGCTCAAAAGCTTCTAAGAATCTGGTATCCTGTGTTTACAGTTACTAGACAGGATGGTCAGATYTRGAGATTCAGCGAARCTGATTTTTCAWGTYTATACTTGGAAGATCTTGAATATATGTACTTCRAAATTAGAAACATGACAAACAGGAAGGAAGGAGAACTGATTKCTCTTGAAGCTATCAAGAGATTTATGTGTTGTCATGTGAAGCTGGCTATGGTCATTGATGTTCAAATGGGCCTTGAAGACAATCAACAGATCATCAATCTGAAAAGACCAAATCAAGAATTAGAAGATATTAAAGCTTATCCAGTTTATATGATTCTTGAAAAGCCAGAGTTCGGGGTCATATACTTTGCTCAACTTCAAGTGAAGAAATTCATGAGATTTAGTGAGTTGAACAAATATTCTGATGGTACGATAAGATTGGTGAGAAGGGCGCTTGACTTRAAAAGGGTAAACAATGACAGAGCTGCTGAATCAGAAAGGATGAGTTCCAAAGAAAGATATTTGTTGATCAATGCGATAAATCTGCTCGAGGAGAAAATCCAATACAGGAACGCTCTGAGAAGATTAGAGAAAATTCTTGGACTTCGAAAGACGAAATTTACAAGAGTTCAAACTTGAATCCAAAGGGGGAGAATGTTGGGTTTAAGTAAAAAGCTTTATTGTTGTATTCAAGTTTCTCCTTAGCTTACTTGCTTTGTAATAGTGTAGCTTTACTATTTCCTTAGTATAAATAGTATTTTCCTTGTAATTGTCATTACCAAGTCATTAGCAGAATTGTAATCAAGATTAGAGCTGTAATTCACTCTCTCACAATCAAATCAGTAACATTTGATGATCAATTCTTTCTACTATTTTCATTCATCTTGTTCTTGAATCTTGTATCATATTGTATGAATCTTGGATTCCACACATTTGATGATATGGATATCAAGTGGTCAAGTTATATTGTAAAATTGATTATGCTGAGAGAGTCACCGTTAATTTTTTTTGGCATCCACATCATCAATTTTATTATGTGGTTTGACATCTATGTCATCATATGTTATAAGATAATGTTACTAGTCAAATTAGGTACAAAATATGATACTTGAAAATTTTGTTACATTGATTATGGAAAAAAAAGTTGTAACAGAGTTCTACGAACCTTTACACTGACGAGGCACACCAGGCATTCTACAAGCACGAGGAAGAAAGATGGCTAAGGATTGGTTGATCGGAATTTGGAAAGGTACGCTACCGGTAGCAATCATGCAGAGACAATCTGTGTCACTACTGGTGACGGTCTTGAGTGAATGATGGTGGTTGTTCGGCCAAGATACCGAAGAAGTACATTTGTTCCATGTAACTTCAGCCTACAAAAAGTTTTGAGTCAATACAAACAATGCAAACACAACATATCACGCTCAAAATCTTGAGCCAAACAAACTTATTATCATTATTAGTATATTGACATGAATACCCACCCACCATGACAGTGTCACATTATTTCATGGAAAGCATACAAAAGGAACAGAGAAAAAAGGTATGAACTCTAAAACCCAAAAAAAGATACTTGACTGTAGGTCATCCAAATTCTAGAATGATTACCCTTTTTGACTTTATATGTCAAATCCTCTAGTTCCCATATTTGAAGTTAATAACTTATTATTGATTCATTTTCATGTTTAGAACCAATCATTTTTAAACATATACTACTTACATATTACGATTTATCTATCGAGTATTTGTCATACCTAACCAAACCAAACGAACCCCGTATATCTCATCCATCACCCACGCTGGGGTCAGGGTGGGACATAGGCAGACGTGTCCTCTACCAAAGTTGTTAAAGGCTCAATGCGCGCATAAGCGCAAAGAGGTCTCGCGGGCGTAAGGCGTGGCCTCAAGAATGCGAGGCGCATCTTACCAAAGAATATATATACACACACAAATCAATACACTATGGGAGAAGTTTTAAGGTATGGGTATTTATAGAGGAGGACTGAAGTAGGCTTGAAATTCTAAGGACTGGATATTAAATATTATGGTTTGACTTATATCATCTATTTAATAACTCTTTTTTTAAGAAGTTAGAAGATGAGAAACTAAGTTAATATTAGGGTTTGCTTATGTATTTAATAACTCTATATGAGTAGCGTCTAGTCCCACAAGAAGCCTCAGCCAAAACACAGGGCCTTAGTGAGCCTCGTGCCTCGACTTAAAAAATCCCAAGATCTTGAGCCTTATGAGCATGGGAGCCTATTTTCTAATCAAAACAATTACTTAGGCAAGGAGGGAATATATTTCCAAATAGTCAATAATTTCCATATTATGCTTCACCTAGCAATTGAATTTAGCTTTTAGCAAGCCTCCAACATAACATGAAACCATGTGTAACATTTGGCTCTTTACTAACAATTATAACCTATCTATCTTTTGTTTATTCCAGCTCACCAATGGGTGCTGGATTTGCCAGGAACACAACATCAACAATGTCTCTTTTCAGTAACTTCAAGATAAGATGATTGCAACCTCATAAATACATTTACAAACATGAATTATAAACTCACAAAAAAACTTGATCTAAATACCTTTTAGAAAAGAGGTTATACAATGCAAGGAAATGAAAGAAACTGCTTAAACACCAAATATGGTGAGAAGCTTAAGTCATGACGATATTGATTAAAACTCAATCTTCAGTATACAAAGATACCTTCGTAAGCTTGTCATCTATAGACAATATAACAACCAGCTAGCACACATTTTGTTCAAAGAAAACCATGAAACGAGGAATGGATTTGCATTACCCATTGGGCAGGACAAGAACGGGTGGAGAGGCAGACGTGAGAGTGGACTCAACAGTGAGCGAAACACCTGCAAGTGTTGATACGGCAATCACTGATAGAGGAGGTGGGACATCAGCGGCAGTTAGCAGCTTCAGCTCCATCATGAGCAAAAACCTTTTTCACTTTGTATAGTCGTTAACCTGGGAGATGGAACCGAGAATTATAAGCACAGTGTGAGCTCCAAAAGTGGTTAATGAATGCAACACAATAACCGCAGCTGATTAAAATTGGCACCTAACATGGTGATATCATTATAGAGGAGATGGCAACAATGTAGCAACAAGTTCCAAACTGACACAGCATATTCATTTTTTCATCTACATTTCATTTGAAAACCAAAAGATTTAACAATGTTATGAAATGCATGCAAGTCACAGACGTAAGATATCATAAGTTGTTATTTTATATCAATTATAACACATAATATAGTTTCAGACTAGGACAAGTCAAAAGAGCAAAACTTTAGCATCAACTATAAGAGAAAGACCAAATTGAAACAGGTACGTAGGGGGCTCATGGGTCAGAAGTAAAAACAATAAAATACAAAATAAGGTAAATACACTTGTACACATACCTAAATTTCCTCAACTTAACTTGCCATTTATAAATCAGGCGCATGTTTCTTAAGACTCCTCATTCAGATATTATATACTTTAAAGATATAAATATTATATACTAAAAAAACAAGTTGAAGAAACAATGGAAAGGGAGTATCAATAACAGTTTTCTAACATAAACATCCACAAAAATGACTACAAATAAAACTAAAAATCATTACGAAATGCTCAAGCTCTCTTATATATACAATACACTTTTGGGTAAAAGCTAGGGAAGAAGACAGAAATCTAATCAAGTTGTTTGGTCCAGTCAAAAGGCTCCCAACTTCGACCGAAATTCGCGGCAGCTTCTTTTTGAGTGTCGATAGACTCATGCTTTTGACGACGATGCATGTCTTCTGCAGGCAATCGGAGCATACCCCTTATAACGTTAACACCAAAACTGCTTTTGAACTGGGATTCATCATCGATAACGTGAACATATCCCTTCTTTAAACCAAACTCCACATGGAAGTACGGGAAGTCTTTCGGTATCGAGTTACGCAACCCCYTTTCACTTGTATCAATTAACTTCTTTGCATTATGTTGGCTCCATTCTTCTTCAGCTTCATCTATTGCCTGCAAACAAAAAACCACAATATCATATATGGCTTTATCGTTATACAAAAAAGGTTTCTTTCGTATCTTATGTTGATAAAAGTTGCTAAACAGAGAAACGGTTCAGCCTGTGTCCCCCACAATGAAAAAGGCACAAAGTTATGAGAATGTACAATTATTACAATCTTTAATTAACTAAATGACAATTTTACCCTTGATAATAGAGAAAGTGATGAATTTCTCCATCTTATAATTAATAAGGGTAGAATTGAAAGTGGACAAGCTAAAATAGAACTATGGACACGTATTTTGAAACGGAAGTAGTAACTGAAATAACACAAACCTTCTTAAAATAGAGAGGAGCCTGTTTTGCAATTTCTGGAGGCAAAGGAATGCATTCCACCAAACAATGCCTGCTCTGCTTTGCCAACCCCATTACTGTTTCAAGAAATATAACATCCATCTCTTGCTTAGCAAACATCATTAGAAGACATTTCTTGAAGTTGCGTATTTCATCCCAYACGTTATCATCAACGCTTCTTGTTGCTAACTCATGCTACATTGAAAATCAAATAAAAACAGCAAATTTATTACAAACCCGTGAAAACCAATCCAAACCCATTGAACGAGCTTGATTTTAAGCTATGATTCATATTCCTTCATATGTTTTGTTATTGTGTGTGTTTTATGTATAAAGTGTATACTAATGTTATTTTCACACACAAAACAATTCCGAATGTTTCATAGATAAAACAACACTGTATGAAGATTGCATATTTTACATGACCATCTCTACCACTTTTAGTGCCATATCTTCCAAAACCAAGTATCCAAGCTCCGAGGCTAATCTGCACTCTTTGGACTTTTCAAGCTTAGACACCTCTATTACTACATCAAGCAACAATTGAATTGGGTGTTGTTTCATATAACACATGAAATTGGTTTGCAAGTTTGCAACATATTACGGTTTTCAACATATTATGGTTTACGACAACTCAGAGATACTGTGACCAAATGAATCTAGAGACATGATTTCAATTTTTATGACCCAATTAGCTTATACTTGTGAATAAAGCAAACTGACTGATAAAAACTAACCTGCATAGGCAATATGCAACAATGGCCTGGTACAACAGGCTTCCACTGAGGTAACATCAAATATGTGAAATTGGCAATCGCAATAACAAGATGTCGTGGCCTCTTAGGGTTCTCAAAGCAAAAGTTACAGCGCTCTTGCTGAGTTAAAATGCGTTTTTCGAAACGGGTATATCCCATTGATTTGGGAACATCGTCACCTTTACCCCGTTTCTTTCTTTTAGGTCCCTCGTCATAATCGTATTCATCATCTGCCTGACCTGATATACTATACTTTTTGTTTTGCACTATTAACCTTGCTACATGCATGTCAGCATCTTCCTCTTTCATCTTTTCACGTGCTTTTATGCCATGCATGATATACCTATAAAGCAAAAACAAAAAGGGTATAACTGATCATGACAAATAGATCTGTATATGGAACTCCATGAGAGAGGCGCATATAGAACATACAAAATTCAAATCAATACGGTTTTTTTGTGATATTTATCTTAACCCGGGGGAAACCCTGCAAATATAAGCCAATTCCTCCAGAACAAAATTTACCTGCTCATAGTTCCATCACCCTGTGGATTGGTTGTGATGGTACCCGCTTTGCTTTCCCCTTYATGCACTTCTGCCTCTTTCTGAARTTAGAAACAAATTGGGAATTATTAGYGATGGCATCAAACGGAGCTCCTCCAGCATAGAGACATTATAATTACTTGTATGTGCTTTAACAGTGTGTGGTAGAAGAATATGAAGAGAAAAAACAGTGTTCAACCCGTGTAATAAAAGCATCATTTCAAAACAACCAGGTAAATATTTTCACCGTGTCACGAGGGAAGTTAAAAGTTTAAGCATTAATTTCTAAGTACATATCAAGAATTCTTGCAATCAAAAATTACCAATCCTTTATCCATGAGCTCCCAAGGGTATACATGTGGAAGCCTAAATTTAGGACAAGCAAAGAGCAAAAAAATCTTGCAAACGATGTTCATATATATGGTACAATTTTGATTCTTTCAGATTAAGATCACGGAGGTTGCTTCAGGTGTTAATTGTATTGCTTATAATCTGTTCACTGAATAGCATCACTACAGCAATTTTCAAACACCAAGAATTTTGGTTTCTTCTTTTTACCAAAGGTGAAAGAAAAATTACTAAAGGAGAGAAGAAAACAACAGATTCTCCAAAATTTTGAGGTGTTACAATGTCACATCATCATATGGGAATCAAAACTCAAGAATCTCCATAAAAAATTACATTCAACTTGAACAGATTTTCTATTTTGAACATTGCAACATTAATTATATTATTAGAATATATTATACATGTAGTAAAATATTATTTCTCTCCCATAAAACATTTAACACCAAGGTTTTCTATTGGCGGAAATATAATTAAAAATTTGTCTCTCTCAAGGAAATCATTTTTGGGGAATTCTCCAAATTTGGAGAATTTCACTCTCTCGTTTTGTCTCCATTTTGGAGAAAGTTTTGGAGAGTCTGTTGGAAGAAAAATTTAATCAAAACCTTCATTTTTCTCCATTTTGGAGAATCTCTTGGAGATGCTCTTAAAAGACAACAATACCCCATGCTATCTCTTCCTTACATGTATATTTTCTAAACCTCTTATGCCATCGCTAACATGCATCTCTTCATATTATAAAAATGTAATAGGACACGAATTCCTCATGTGCACCCAAATCCCAATTACTTGCATATATRGAAAGGCAAATATTTAATGAGTTCAAAGAAATGTGGCTAGATGGAAAATGATGTGCAAACCAACATTATTCCTTACCAGAAGTTTCTCAGCTTCGTCATGCTTTCCTTTCATACGGAGCTGCATAACTTTAGCAGCCAACTGGTTTGCACTTAGTGCAGGCTTTATGTGTCCTTCGTCTACACGAGATGGTTTTTCAGATTTGGACACATCAGATGCAACTTTCCCGTCACGATCTGAATATGAATCATCATCTTGCTGAGATTTAAATTCTTTCAAGAAACTTCCATCATTGGTGAACTTTTGTAAGCTGGACAATGCAGAAGAAATGACACCAGCATCCTTAACTGACATGCTCTGACTTTTCTGCTTCCCCCAAGATAAAGAATCATCAGGTCTAGGCACTCTCATTTTATTTTTAGCATGCTGTTGAGGCATGCCCTTCTGGCTATCCCTTTCAGCATCCTGATATCAACAAATAAAAGTGAAAATAAAAGTGCAGTCCGTTAATCTGTAACATACATGACAAAAGTTCACTAACTGGAACAAGTTAAATAATAGGCCACTAACCTGAACTCTAATTATTTAATAAACAGATTGAGCTTTTTCACTCTAGCACAACACTCGACAAATTTAAAGATTCACTCCTAACTGTTAGTAACAAGGACTCTGGACTCCCTAAAGCTCTCCAATTTTTTGGCTTTTTTAAAGTAYTGTTTCTTATATGTAATTCCATTATAATTCATCTGCTTCATCATAACCACCACCACCACACACACACAAATATTTTAAAGTTTAACTCTTAAGGTAGCAATCTTACTACTCTCTCCCAAATAAATTGATTCTTTTCATCTCATCTTCATTATCTTGGAAACTAATGAAACCATTTACTGATACAAGAATTTGGAATCATAATTGAAATGAGTATCGCTTTCATTCATCCTCGGAACATGACAGAACCGTTTCTTGTCAATGTAGTCGATCAAGCAGAGCAGAAGACAACAGTGTACGTTACACCACTGATCTTCAAAATAATAATAGAGACAAAAAGACAGACACACAAGAGTCTGAAATGAATTATTCAAATGAATCAAAGCCATCTGCACATACACGAGAACATCCACTCTCTACATACACAAAGTTCTCTCCCATAATTTCTTTTACACTAACCTTTGGCAGCTAATATATTCCTCATGTTCAACCGTAGATTTAAAAATGCCTGTTCCCTCATGTTCAAAAACGTTTGAGGTTTCACTATGGAAATGATGAGGAAAAAGAGCTTGGTAGTGCAGTTAGGGACTTGGGTTTTGAAGCTTTTAAATTGTATTTCTATCCACTGTATTTGATTTGAACAAAGGTGCTGGTTTAATCAAGTTTCCATCCAAATTATGGACATGGTAGGCGTTTTAACGTTTGGATCAGCCAATTAGGTAATTGGGTCATATAGTCCAAGTAGTTTTCAGTATT